ACCCTCAATTTGCTTCTAGCTCGTCTCCAAAACATCGGTTGCATTTCTCCTGGCCTTCCCATAACCCTCTTTTTCAACCCTTCCACAGAATCCAATCCAACATTCAACGTGACAGAGGGAAACCCAACCACGCAAACATCGTTCCCAAGTACAGATACAGATGTTTGGACAAACAATCGTAAGTTGCTCCCACATTACTCCTCATGTTCAACTGATGTGCTTTTAATTCTTCGCTGTCCTTCCTGATCTGATGCCAGAGGCTTGGGGACACGGAACAGGTTAGGGAAGACGATGGAGTTTTCATTTCAGAGTATTTGCTTAAAAGATATGCTCTCTCTTTTGTGTGTGTGTGTTTCTCTAGTCAGCTTCCTATAAAGGGACACAGTGGCTCAGTGGCTAAGACGCTGAGCTTGTCAATCAAAAGGTCGGCAGTTCGGCGGTTCGAATCCCTAGTGCCACGTAATGGAGTGAGCTCCCGTGACTTGTCCCAGCTTCTGCCAACCTAGCAGTTCGAAAGCACGTAAAAAGTGCAAGTAGAAAAATAGGGACCACCTTTGGTGGGAAGGGAACAGCGTTCCGTGCATTTAGTCATGCCGGCCACATGACCACGGAGACGTCTTTGGACAGCAGTGGCTCTTTGCCTTAGAAACGGAGATGAGCACCACCCCCTAGAGTCAGGAACGATTAGCACATATGTGCAACCTTTACCTTTAGTCAACTTCCTGGAATTAAGCGCACTGTGTATAGGGGCATGGAATTCTTTATAAGCAGAGGTAAGCAGAGGTAAATAGGTTTATAAATAGCCTTTCTTGGCTCAATATACACTAAGCTATAAATCGTAACTTGGATTCAGACACTTAGCCAAAGCAAAACTAATGGCATTCCTGGTGGGTTCATATTGTTCTTATTAATTGATTTCAAATGATGTTCCTAGTATAGGAATTGCCCTGAGCAGGGGGTTAGATTAGATGGCCTTCAAGACCCCTTGGAAGACTATACAAACTCTCAGAGTTTGTTGCAGAAAAATCAAATCCAGAAAGCACACACAGATACAACTGATTCATCTGGATTCATCTTTATATACCTAATAATAGATAAGGGGCGGTTTCCCAACTGTGTTGGTACCATTTCACTTCTGCGCACTTTACACACTATCTACTTGCTTCATTCGCACAGGCGCGCACGGCGCACACATGCACAGTTCACTGTAAATTGTTCTGCGCATATGCGAAGACCATGAAACGCTAATAAAAACCATGCCGGCAATGGCAGCAGAGCCCGAGGAATTGGTTCAGGGGCGTAGCCAGCCTGGGTCGCTGCCGGTTCTGTAACCCAGGCCAAATTACCACTACTGGTTTGCCCGAACTGGTAGAAACCCACCTCTAACAGATGAATAAATGTACAATAGCAATAGCAGATTCTTTCAACGTGGTAGAAGTTACAAGTAGAACACACACAGCAGTACAGCAGAGAGGAGTTTTCAGTTCAGAACAGAGAGAATCAGTCTTGTTTCAGTTTCAATTCTCAGCACAGACTCAGGCCTGTTTAGGCTCCCATTGGCTGACTTAGTTGCTATGCCTATTCATTGGCTGACCTTGTTCCCATGTCTCCCTCAGTCATGAATATTCTAACAAATTCTGGGTTCACCGACAAAAGAGCGCCCGACAAAAGCGCGCCCGACAAAAGCGCGCCCGACTAAACCGCGGTGAGAAAACCACGAGTTCTGAACCGCGCCGACGAATGAGCGCTAAATCGCGCCGACAACAGCACGCCGACAGAAGGGTGCTGTAAACCTAACCCTAAACGTAACCCTAACCCTAACCGTAACGCTAACCCTAACCCTAAACCTAACCCTAACCCTAAACCTAACCCTAAC